CTCATGCTTTACATTTCCAAGTGTTGAACCTGAATAGAGTATAATTAAACCAGGAGTTGGACTTTCAGGCCCTTGACACATGCTCTGTTGTTAAAGGGGTCATATGATGCTGCTAAAAAGAACATTATTTTGTGTATTTGGTGTAATGAAATGTGTTTATGCGGTTTAAAGTTAAAAAACACATTATTTTCCACATACTGTACATTATTGTTTCTCCTCTATGCCCAGCCTTTTTGAAACTCGTCGATTTTTACAAAGCTCATCGGTCTGAAAAAGCGAGGTGTGCTGTGATTGGCCAGCTATCCAATGCATGTGATTGGCCGAATACATCAAGCGTGTGACGGAAATGTTACGCCCCTCACCATACTATTGATGCCATGTCCCGGCCGGAGCGACGAGACAAAAGCATTAAAACCCATTACAAACGAGGCATTTGTTGCATCCAGTGGGGACATAATTACTGATTATAATGACTTATACTGTCTTTTTACGCGTTGCGTTGCATTGCATCACGCAGCGTAAACATAAAACTCTGTCTGCATTTGTGATCAGAGAAATGACAAACAACAAGTGCTACTCCACACTGCCCAAAACTCGCGTTTGAATCATCAGTGTTTCAAACGTACTTACGCGAGTCAGAACTGCCGGCATTTTAGTCTAATGTTACTCTCCCAGCATCAGTAAACAGTCCTCCATAAAATGCGCTGCACACATCTGGATATTTGGGTTAAACTGTTCTGGAACAGTGTTGTAAATACCACTGATTTGTAGTCGTGTCCTCTTTTGGAAGACCAAACAAAGTAGTTTCGAAAAATTGAAATCGCATCATATGACCCCTTTAAGTTGTGATTCTCAAGAATGCTTGAATTGTACATTTAAAATGAAACGTGCAGTACTAATTTTGGAAAAAGTGAAATGGCCTAATTTATGTGATATCACTTTAGTGTTACAATAAAAATAATGTGTATACTGTTTTTGGGAATTACTCAATATGCATCCTACTATATTGAGTTGACACATTGTGATACAATATTTAATGCTCATTCTGTAAAAATTGTGCACAAAAATGTGAGAATTAATTCTGGAATATTTCCGGGTTTTTTTTTTAAGTGTTGAACTGTAATTCATTATCATCCGTAGTATTTTTAACCTGATTTACATGTACTGCACTGTAGTCTTTCAGGGGATACAAAATCCAGTTTACATTTGTATTTTTGAATGGTTGCTTGATTAATAAAACATTTATTACATTTATTACATTTATTACATCTATTACTTGTTATTTTGGTGGTCTAGAATAGGACATCAATGTGTGGACGTCAAATTGACATCAAGTTTTTGACGTCAATGCTTGATGTCAATTTGACGTGTTTTTGACATCAATTGCCCACTTAGGAGTCGCTATCCTTTTGTCAAGTGCTGAAATGTCACCTTATAGAATGGCTCGTAATTGTAGTACTACACACTCGTTTATTGAAATGTTAACCTAATGCTGCGTTCCAGACAACGATGCTCTTCGGCCTTTACGATTACTCCAGGGCTGCGTTTCCCAAAAGCTTCGTAAGCCTAAAGCCCAGGATACACTGCACGATTTTAGCAATCCTATATACAAGTGCTCTGGAGTAATCGTAAAGCCCTAAGTGCATTGTAAGAAGACAGATTTATGCGGTCACCTGCAGGACAATCGGCAGATTGCACCGTTAACTTTATTCAGGTGCAATGCGATTATAATATAAGGATTTGATCGTACTTTATTGTACACTTTATTACTTGTTTTGTTGTTGTTGTTTTTTAAATTAATTTATAAATGAAATAATTAAAAAAGGCAGAAAAATAGAAATACACATGTAAATTAAATGACTGAAAAAAAAATTAATAAAATAAATAATGTACGAAATATGCTTCAAAGACTGGGGGGAAAAATCTGTCAATGACTTGCTGACTTGCACGAAAACTAGCAATGTATACTTAAGTAGCACTTGAAAATCATCGTAGATCTACGAGTGCTCTGGAGTAATCGTAAAGCCCTAAGTGCATCGTAAGAAGACAGATTTATGCGTCACCTGCAGGACAATCAGCAGATTACACCTTTAACTTTATTCAAGTGCAATGTGATTATAATATAAGGATTTCATTGTACTATATTGTACACTTTATTACTCGTTTTTTGTTGTTGCTGTTGCTGTTGTTGTTGTTGGTTTAAATGAATATATAAATGAACTAATTAAAAGGGGCAGAAAAAAATAGAAATACACATCTAAATTAAATGACTGAACAAAAAAAATGAATAAAAGAAATAATGTAGGAAACATGCTTCAAAGACTGGGGGGGGGAAATCTGTCAATGACTTGCTGACTTGCACGAAAACCAGCAATGTATTGGACCCGGAAATAACGTCTCTATATAGATATTATGTATTATTATGTAAAGTATAATATAATACGTATGATATAATATAATATTGTATTATAGTTATTATATCAGAGTTGTCTGGAAACATTTCAATAAACGAGCATGTACTACAATTACGAACCATTCTATAATGTGACATTTCAGCACTTGACAAACGGATAGCGACTCCTAAGTAGCACTTAAAGCACGGCTACGTGCGATTGCGTTAAAGGGGTCATATGATGCGATTTCAAGTTTTCCTTTCTCTTTGGAGTGTTACAAGCTGTTCGTGAATAGA